AACAACAGTGTTTCGTAGTGACCATCTTGCAATGAAATCGCGATTTTTTTGGGTTGAAGCGTACTCATTCACAGTAATACACAGTGAACTATCGGTTTGTTTGTCCGAATCTCGCCGGGGGGTCTAATTATGCAAAGCTATTTTTAGTATGACTGCGCTCCGCTATTTAGTAAGTAAGTAATTATCTTCAAATTTTTTCTCCCTCGAGATGAAGATAATGTCCCCAATAATGAAAACTATAAAGTGAAAAAATAAAATCGAAATGCACTTGTCTTCGCACAAGTCTTTGTTTTCGACCTTGGTACTTTACACCTCCCACTTAGGAATTTTGTCACATGTAACCAACCCACCACCAGCCACCCCAGGGGTTAGTTTTGTTCTTGAAAAATTCTTCGACAAAGTTTTACATGGTCGACATATTTAAGCTTTGAATACCTGGTTAATTTTACTTGAAAAACGAAAGATAAGTACAGATGMTCCAATAAAGTTTAGTGAAATTTACCTTGCATGTCTTTCATAAAAATCCAAATTTCGGAGATTTCCGAACTTTTTATGGACAAATCATTACCATAAGACAGATTTGAAAACTGGTTAAGAAAAGGTGAGCTAAATATAAGCTTACTTTTATTTCTTTTACATAACAATGTTTGGTTATCCATATGAAGAGTTTTATGTTTTTATAAGAACAGTATTTTTACCGCAACGAAATTAGTATATGTAATAGGACTCCATGCCGTCCAATTAAGAAATAATTGGACGAGGAATATTCTGAGGACTGACAAAATTGGATGAGGCCGTACACCGAGTCCAATTTAGCAGTCAGAGGAATTTTTCGAGTTTAATTATTTCTTGATTGGGGAGCATGAAATCCCATTTCCTATTAATTATATGGCTGCCTAATTAATCCCATATCAACAAGACCTGTCCAATTAAGAAAATAATTGGACAGTTACCTATATGGGATTAATGAGAAGCTGTAAAATTAAGAAAATAAATGCTTTGGTAGCATCAGATAGAAAACTAGCTGGAGATCATTAAATAACTAAACTAGTCAAATGGAGGACCTTAACGTCAAAACCAAATGTCTCAGTAAAAAATAATTTTCTTATCCTAATTCTTCATTAAAATATTTTTATTCCTTTCATAAAAAAATTAAAGGGCCACTTGAACGAAAATCGCTCCAAAATTAAAACTCTTTCGTTCGAGCTGGAACTTTGCTGAAATAATCTTGAATACATTAAGAACCACCCACTGGAATATCTTTCTAATATTCGAAAGGGAAGGGCCAAAATTTTACGATTTATTTTCGTCCGCCATTAATTTCTTTGTGTCACGGCCAACGAGTCATTATGTACAGCAGTTTTACGCTGTGACGTCATTTACTCAACACCGTCATGTTAGCGTCGTTTTGACTATACATTTCTTGTTAGATTACCTGAAGTTTATTTGATGTTTTAATCGCGTTATCGTGAAAAGAATCTCTAAACAGACTTTTTTTAAACCTTTGATACCTCTTCAAATATGATGGAAACTCCTTTGGACGCTCGCTTTGTCAATCCTGAAGAGTTAGAACCATAAGTTATAATGTATGAAGATGAAGCCGAACTAGAAGAAGAAGTAATGCTTGGGAAGAGGTTTTCATAAAAATTCCTTACGTTCATTTCATTATTTGTATTTGCTACGTACTGTCCATGATATAAAGATCTTAAATTTGAAGTTTCAATGTAATCTAATAGTGATTGATGCTATGAAAACAACCGATTGCCTTTTGAATTCTGCGTTGTGATATAAAGATTTGTGACAATATACTTAGATCTATGTGCCGAATAATTTAGAATGTGAGCTCGTAATTCTCCTAGCTGATTTACTACAGAACGGTTATTATTTGCTTCAAAATGTTTATTATGCATTGAATAGGTATAAACATACGATTATCTAATATCATCTTTGTAATAGAACATGTCAAAGGTTTCTTATTTATTACTCGCGCGACAGCGGCGTCTGTCACTCAGCTCGTAGATTTTTCTTTCATTGTGTCGGATGTCTCGCGGACCCAAATTTTGCCCTTGTATGTAAATACTAGTATACCTTGAAAAATTGTTATCCTTAAAATGATTCGAATAAATCCCGAATATCTCAGTCACTTCGCGCGATGGAACCGCTAGAATCTCGTCCATGCGTCCTACTTTGTTGTGATTCTTGGCGTGCCGAGATGTATTGAAATTTTCGAATTATGATCGTCAGTATTATAGAAACTGAAACATTTCAGCGCCTAGACATTGTTTGGTCATATAGTAGTTAGGAAACCGAATGAAACATTATATATTTTCTGAATAAACCAAATAAACCGAGTTTTACGAACATGGTACATACATTACCCACCAATGTTTTGGTTTGGGTTGAGTAAATGACGTCATAAGTACTCGTGCCAGTCTTCTTGAGTCGAATTCTGTGATTCAAAGAAATTAATGGCGGACGAAAATAAATCGTAAACTTTTGGCCCTTTCCTTTCGAATATCAGAAAGATATTCCMGTGGGTGGTTCTTAATGTATTCAAGATTATTTCAGCAAAGTTCCAGCTCGAACGAAAGAGTTTTAATTTTGGAGCGATTTTCGTCCAAGTGGCCCTTTAACTATTCTTCGAGAAGCTTGAAAACTTATATTATAGGCTTACTAGATTTTGAGATTCAGTTTTACCAGTTACATGTTAAACTTGAGACAAAATAATAAGTAATTATGATTATAATATATATAATATATAAGTATCATTATAAATATGATGCTCCGCTCGCGCCGGCCGTCTTCCCACGAGAGAGCTCCGCTAATAATGCTTTGGTAGCACCAGATCGAAAGAATGTAGATGGATATTATTACGAATAAACTAGTCAAATTTGTAAGCCCCTGAACACTGCACAAAACCAAATGATTCGTTAAAATAATAWTTTTTTATTCATTATATATTAGCCTTACCTATTCCATAAAAAGCTACAACGTACAACGTGAGCAGGTTAAAGCTCATCAACTAATGATTTTGGGCTAGGTACCACTGCGTGATCCGGTTACGCAACATCAGAAAAAATATGTTAACGTTTTGGTCAGTTACGATTTCAAGCTCACACCCCCTCATGTGAGCCCATACAAATTATGTCTCAAAAACACGGTTTTTGGATCTTTTCTCAAAATAATGACTATATAGGCAAAAAACAGAAGTGGATTCAGTTAATTCAACTATTCACAGAAACGAAGGACTAAGCTTTTCACGATGATCCAATTTATCTACAAGTTCCTACTGTTTTATTCAGAAGCACCGACGCAGTCCTCGCTAGTTCTACTAATTATCACCACTACTAATTTTTCATAGGTATGGTTGTTCACTATAACGCGCGCTAATTGGCAGATTTTTCATAACTTTTTTACATAAATAAAAACAAAAACAAAAACAAAACCAAAAACCAAAAAACAAAAAAAAAAAAAACCAGAAAACAAAAAAACCTTTAAAATATTCTTTTATAGAAGTTAAAACTCAACTCGCTGAAAAGAAACATAACAGATACAGATGACTGACTTGCTTCGCTGATAAATTGACGGAATAAACACTACAACATGCTTTGCTTTCAAATAATGGATGCTCTCAATGACTTCTACCCGCTGCATGTATCACAGGGCAGATGAAAGACCGTTTAACGCAGCCGCAACTGTGACCTCTACGCCTTTTTACTTTCACTGCGCATGCTCAAAGAAATGCCATGGGTGGTCAGAACCAGCGTGATGGGGTCGAGTAAGACGCACATTATGCAATTTTCGCCTCACTCGGACGTTTCTCCTCGGTCCCTTTTAGGTCTGGAAGTAACAATATCATACTTACATCAATGACAGAAAACTTAGTTTCATGAATGAATTCACTTTCACCTGGTGAATCTTACTTCCTGAAAATAAGCTATCGATACAAAGAAAAGAAGGAGTAAAATCTTTAAAATGAAATACACAACCTGATACGAAGAACAGCCGCCATTTGACAAGTGCAAAAGTTAGCATTTACATTGCCAACCCAAGGGGTATATCTAAAGACGTGATACTTACATGGCTTTAGTGTTCTTGGGCAGTCGGTCTGGAAGGGACATCAATTGAGTCGAAGTTATGACAATCCCACTACCATTCGTTTCTCTTCCACAGGTACATGACAAGGGACAGTCTGTGTGGAAAAAAAAGTCAACAATAACATAATTATTAGTTCCACCCTCAACCTCTCTGTTCCATGACTTTAATAACAGTAAACCACATCATAACCGGAATGCAACAAGTATGACCGACAGTGCAGTGTGATCCTCATACCTTGAACACATCCGTCATCTCCTGTATCTGGGGAAGAACAACGTTTGAAGATAAATATTCAAATAATTTTTTAGTCATTAATCAAGGTAGGTAAAACTGAAAATGAAGCACCCTTTATCTTGACCTCTATTAGAAGCTTAGAAGCTATATTTGACAAAAAAGGTCATGCTGTAAAGACAAAATGTTATTGCAAGGACACGACCAAGTCATTAACTAGAATCGGTTGCATGTCTTTGTACCTTTTATTATCTGGTAATAAACCTTGAATCCAGATCTTGTAACATTGTTATTGGACGAAAAGGTTATCTTGATGGTGTCTGACTGTGACTCGATCATTTGTGGATATCTGCAAAATATCAGAAACGAATCATCAGCCTAAAAGCTGTAGCTGTATAAAAATATTTGGTGCGAAAACTTCTAACTGATCGTTGTCTGTACGTGCTTCCTTACAGTGCATATGACAAGAAAAAAAATAATGTTGAAAATGTGTAGTTTATTAGTATTCATAAGAATATCACGGTAAAATTGGTTTTTAATGTGTATTTCTCTAGAAATTCAAGAAAATTTAGCACAAGTTGTGACGTCATTTTGTTTACAAGTCTCCAGATTGAGTTGCAAATACATGAAATATGTTTCAATGTATAATCTTAGTTTCAGGGAGGACACTTCTAAATTTGAAGAGTACCACAAGTGCATTCAAATGAAGCTAAACAGAATATGCTTTTTAATGTTATTTTATATCAACCGCATTTCTTATTTAGTGCCCAAACAACTTAATCTATAGTACAAGTCAACAAACTGACGTCACAACTTGTGCAAAACTTTCTTGAATTTCTAGAGAAATACGTCTTTGAAACAAATTTAACCATGATATTCTCATTAGTACCAATAAACTAAACATTTTCAACATTAAATTGTTTTTGTGTCATATGCAGTTTAAGGACGATTTTACAAGGGTGCCGCGTCAGGCGAGAAAAGAAAATATAAAACTATTATAAATACACAACCTTACTAATAAGAGACATTAGAGGAATGAAATTAAATAAGTATAAAGTACAACATGATCAATCAATGTTAATTATATATTTATTTATGTTAATCCCTTTGTTCTTTTTTACCTTGATCCACAGTAACGACCAATACGAAAAGTCGACAGAGCTTCCTCTCCATCATACACTTCTACAAAGTCAGCTGAACATGTCGGGCTCAACTCCAATTCAAAGGCTTTAAATTCCATACGAATCACGTGACCTTTGCTCGCCTTGATTGTCCAGGTACCGCTAGTATTGTTGTCATAGTAACCAGGATAATAGGGCGACACGATGTAGCCTGTATTGTTGGTCAGCAACTCATTGCAGGCTGTGTGTTTAACGTGTTGAACAAAATCAAAATCTGTAAATTCAAGTTTCATTTCATTTTGCTCTCGATACAAAAAGTCAGTAAGAGAAACTGTATTGTGTTCATTGAAAAGGAATACAGTTGCCAGATGAACAATTCTTCAACCTTATCTCACCTTCTCTCGCTGATGATGGTATAATATCAGAACAGTAGCCCTCGGTGGTGTGTAAGGCACCTATCGACAGCAATCCTGGCTTATTCCTGATTTCACTTTCGATAGCAAGCTTTAAAAAAAACGCAATTATTTAAGTTATTGTTATAAACGTCTACTCTGCCGCGTAGTCCATCAGTGTTAAATAATCCTAGTCAACCACAATGCATTGAGCGACGGAACAATGAAATGCTAAGCAAAGCGACATTTTCTTTGCCAGGCAAAATGGCAGTTTCGTAGGTAAGAAGTTTGGAAGTCAAGTTCCATGAAAGAGCTTCGAAAAAGATGTAGACGAACGATGTAAACCATAGCATCTTCGAGGCTTTCAAGTCCAAACTTGATTAATTAAGTATAAGATTAGGGATAAAACGAGTATAATTTTTWAAAAAACGTGCGTTTTGGCTATATCTAGTGAGAGTCTTCATCAGAAYACCACCACCAATACAGACCGATGGCATAAACTAAGAACGGACAATACTAGATCTTTCAACCATTGCCAACACTGTTGGAGCAGAACATGTGAAATGGCAGTGAAACACCTGTGAAAACTTTCAAAGGATTTTCACATATTTTTTTTACATGTTGATGTGAAAAAAACATGTGAAAACCCTGTGAAATGGGTTCCTCCTTTTCACATCCTTAACATGTGAAATAACCTGTGAAACACCTGTGAAAACCAAATCCACTTTTTTAATATAAATCCATTTCACATGGTAAAAACATGTGAMAATCCTGTGAAAACTGAATCCATATAAATTCATTTCACATGGTAAGACATAAGAAAAACAAATTTACATGTTGTAATACAATTTTATTTSACATGGAAAAGAATGTGAAATTATATTATCTTTAGATCTGAAAATACTGTGCTTGTGATCATGTAAACTACTTAAATTTAGATATCTGAATAAGTTGATCTAATACAGGTAGTTTTTAACTAAGAAATTTATAAATAAGCTTTAATTACACCAAATTTTCTATAAACTACAAGGCAATATTGACATCTCGTGCTAATGATTTATAAATACAGCACTTCATCATCAGTTAGGTTAGGTTTTCAGGAGGTAAGACCTACAAATTCGAAGGGTAAATTAGTTACATTATATAAAAGAAACAKGTTCCATATCTCAATACAACTTTCCATGAATAGTAGATTTAAGAAAATGCTAGGATTTTGACCTAAATATAGCCGCCTAGATTGTCACTTCATTGATGTAAAAATCGGTTTGTAACAGAGGACATTTTGATCGCTTACCTCAGCGAAATCTCTTRGAAATTCGTTGATCTATACCAGATTACCCTCAGGTTATGAAGTATCACATATTAGTTCGTTGTTCCCCGTTTTTCTCAGGGGATTTTAGGCTATTTAAAAGCACAATTATCCATGAACCATCCATGCTTTACAACAAAGAACGATTACAATAACTGAATGAAAAGTCCGCCTAAATTCGAACTGTTGAATTAGCGAATCAGAGCAAGCAAGGATATCCAAATATGGCCATCCGTATCCAAATATGGTCAAAACTCTACACCAGTCCGGCTCGGTTAGTCATGCCAACATGGCGTCTATCAATGTTGATCGTAATGTAGATCTCGTTCTTTAATCGATATGATTTATTGAAAGGTATAATTTAGGATGTTTAGAGAAGTATTAAAAACATGTTGGAGATGTAGTAAAAATGTATTCATCGATTCCTCAAGGTTAGATGTGTAGTCTTGTAAAGTGTCTTATCAAATCAGCAGATGTATATTAGCTAACCTTGAGGAATCGATGCATTTCTCAAGGTTAGATAATATACATTTGTTTTAAGAATATGGTAGTACTAGATATTTTTATATACGATAACCCACTTTTGATTATGACGAAAAGGAAGAATGATATTCTATTTACCACTTTAAGGTAAKAATTTTGTAATAATTATATGGAACAGCTAGTTATAAAATGTCAACATATATTAAAAGTTTCATACGGTTTTCATTAATTACATGGCTTTGAAATTTTCTTTGTATTTCACATGCATGTGAAAAAAATGATTCAAAATTTCACATGTCAGATTTCACATGTTTCAAGTTTTCACTCATGAAATTTCACATTCCGTTTCACATGTTCCCAAATTTCACAGGTGTTTCACAGCCATTTCACATGTTCTGCTCCAATAGTGCAACCACGCTCACGACAACCCTGATCATAACATCGACTTTAATTCTGTTCAAGTTCTCGCCAAGACCTCCTAATGCCTCCCTCGACGCATCAAAGAATCCATGGAAACCTTCAAATGCCCTAATAACTTCAACAGAGAAGGTTCCTACCGCCTTAGTTCTACCTGGATCAGACAAGAACACTAGTGACTCTGACCGCCTTTGCCGTGAAACCCCACCAGAGAACAATAGACATGTTAATCATTCATCGCTTCATTGCCTCTTCCCACGCTTTGCTTAGATATACGCGCTTCACACATTTTCGTCATCATTCTGATGGAGGCTATCACTAATTATAGCCCAAACGTCATGTTTCTTAAAAATCCTACGCGTTTCAACCGTAAACTTACATTTAATTAATGATGTGGACAATAACACAGGGGCACAGCATTGCATTGTAGTTAACTAARATTCTTTAAGATATACGAAGAACAACATCCCAGTGGAACAAAGGTTTACAGGATCACTGATATGTTCAATCAAAGAGTGCTTTGACCGTACTAGATTCCAGATCCTCCTCCTTATTAAAACATCATTTTCAAACTTAAGGTTTCCCATTCATGTTCCAGATTTTCCGTACCTCGTGTTTTTAAAGGCCTACGCTAATGTGTGATCTATGAAACTTAGACTGMAACCAGTGGAAAACATTGATTTCAGAAAGGAACTTATTATATTGATTTAGACTAAATATTTTCAGGGGGAAAATGGCTATAGTTTATCTAACCTTATATGCCGTTACTGCTGTCAGTGTTACTTGTCCATCCCTCCATCTACTGTCCTCACTGTCTTTGACCATCCATATCGGTCTCTTACTGTACTCTCGGTTATCAAATTCTTGATAAATTATCATCGCTTTCGCTCCAGGTCCCCACATTTTGTACTTGAACTTCAAACACCTCCCTGGAGATTCCGATGACCTGTTGTATCGCGGGCTCTCTATTCTTGCAAAGCTACTTGGTGTCTCGGGACTCGATGGACCAATTAAACTCAGAACATTTCCTAATATTAAACGAATATTAATTAAAATTTATGTATGCGCATCTATTCGGTCCAACTGATAACAAAATATGTCTATACCTTGCTTTCCTCGACAAGTTGACTCGTAAATCTTAAAACCACTAGTGTTCCTTGGCTTTACATTCAAGTAGTCTTTCCATCCTAAGAGGTTCCCAGACTCTGTTCCACATTTGTACGACATATAGAGTATATATTGCTCAGACAACACATTATTCCATATGTTTAGTCTACTGTATTTAACCTCGGTTTTCTGATCTTGGGAATCAAAAGTGACCGATATGTTACCTCCTGAAAAAAAAGAAAAAAAGTTAGGAAGAAGGATGAGTATTTGGCGTAGTGATCACCAACTATTTAAGAGAAAAAATGTTTGAATTTGTTTGGATTTTTTAACTGTGTTAGGTCGCATGGATTTCCTTTGCTAATGCTAATGAATTTGTGAAAAGTATGGTTTTCCTATGTCTGTCAGTCATACGTAATATGGTTCCATGTGTCCTACTAAGGTTAGCTGAAATAGAGAGAAATGAAATCTCCATGGTTTATTGCTTCATTCACAACATCGTAACACCACAACTTAGATTTGTTTTTCGTAATATAGTAAAAAAAATACTTATTTCACCGATATTTCAGAAAAGCATCAAGCTTACTATACAGTTCCTGTTTGTCCAACACTCCAAGTCCAATAGCTATTGCAGCACCGTCAATGAACGTTTGCCATACCCCAAAATTGGACATCCACGTGAGGCAAATGTGGATCCATTTTCTAGTTTCATTTCTGAGAAGATAAAAGATCAGAAGAAAGAGAAAAAGGAATATTAAAAGAGCAGTTTCATGTGATGGTCAAAATATTGAACGAATTTCTAAGAACACCTGGGGGCCTGTTACGCCACAAAATGTAATAACTCGCACAAAATGTAATAACAACGCAAAATGTAATAACTTTTGACGCAAAATGTAATAACTTCAGTAACGCATTTTAAATATATGTATCCAGAAAATCAATATTTGTTCGGTATACGAACCATACCAGGTGACTTTAACTTGAATTTCGCATGAACTGTGAAGATAAATATTCATGTTGAATACACGATTTCAAAGTGTGGATTTTTACTAAGCAAAGTCCACTCACTCCAACAGTAGTATATTTGAGGGAAAAATCAGCAACTCTTCATATATATCACCAATATCAAGCGCACTCAGGATCAACATACATTAATGATTTTAATAATTGAAGTATGTCAAAACTATCGTATTGAATCCCGACATGTCTCATGGATAAGGGCTAGTTTATTATTCAATACTGTCAACTTGTTAATCATTTTATTGAGTAAATAACACTTTAAAAAATTTACCACATTATGGTAAAAAATGTACCAAAATAACATAAATTAATTAGTCAGAATGTTCATCAATTAGCAATAAAAAAATACATAAAAATTAGCATTTAATCTTAGCAAAAAGGCGCGGGCATTTGTTTAATATCTCGTAATTTGAATGTAGTCTATCCAGTTTTTCCCCCCAGACGATTCTCTATTCTGTTCTGTTCGGTTCTACTGTGTCGTTTACGTCCATTCAGTAAACATTGATTTTAAAATGCGTTATTGAAGTTATTACATTTTGCGTCAAAAGTTATTACATTTTGCGTTGTTATTACATTTTGTGCGAGTTATTACATTTTGTGGCGTAACAGGGCCGTTTTTGTTATGAGAATCTTTCTTATTTAGCACTTTCAGATCGTTTGTACCTTGTCGTTGCATCAATATTGAGAAATGCAATAACAATCTTTTCGTTCTCCTCCTYTACATAACTAACGCTAATGATGATTGGCGATGAGCTGTTGATTGACATCCAAAGACACATGGTCATTTCTTCCAGTGATTCCCTTATCTCCACGTTGACATAGTGATTTTCATGGTCGAGCGAGAAACCAATGTCTGACTCATAATCCTGGGTTAAGTTGTCACCTGAATAAAAACACCATGAAGTGCATTGAGATGTGTAGTACTGGACTCCTTTTGTTTAGTGTGTGTAATGGTATTGGGGTCCCCTATGTACAGCCTTTGAATCTCGTTAATGACAATGTTAACTAGCACTTTGATCAATCTCGTATCCAAAGCACACGTTCCTCTTGGTCAAGCACCAAGAAACAAGAGGCTCTAGCTGTAGCGCTTGTTTTGAGTTGGCTTCTGGTCCATAAATCTCGGACCGGAAGTTTCAATCTCACATGACTAAATCACAAGCTAGTCGTTGTTTAGTTTACTTTGATTTTTAGCGATTGCTTTAAACAACGGTAATCATTTTYGACCTTACTAGCATTGAATATATAGCTCTTATTAACCGAGTGCGAGGTCCGTATCGTAAGTTATGGACCGAGTTTTTTCCACTGCCTTATGGCCCAAGCGCGTATCGCGCGGGCCATAAAAAAGAGGAATAAATGAGGGTCCATAACTTACGGTACGGACCAAGCAAACGAGGTTARTAAGATATTAATTATATGGTAAGGCATTGAGATTAAAAAGAGGCGAAAAACGACAAAAAGTAAAGTTGACAGCGCATGTCAAACGAGAACTGCATTGGAAGGGCTTCCTGTACGTGCCACAAGTCATGTAATGTTTGAGTCGCTCAAAAAGAGAAGTTTTAGTTTACTTTGAAAGAATCTAGCTATAGTTTAAAGTTTTCTGAAATACTAGTTAACAAAAGTGAGGCGTTTTTTGCACAACATTTAAATGCAAAGCAAAAAAGGCATCAACAGAAGACCTCAAGAACTCAACATGAGATTGAGAAGAAAACTGTCGTACTTCAAACTTCAAGATATTCACAACCAAGATGAAAAATACTATATCCTTCCGTTTGTTTTCCTTCCTTTTATTGGAAAATAAACTCAAAACCTCTCTCCAGAAATGAATGAGAAGCTTTTGGAAAATTACGGCTCGCTGAACATGGATAGTTTTCGTCAATTTTCAACGTTTTGACTTTTTGAAGCAGGCCGCCATATGCACAATGCCTGAAGTCATGAAGACGGCACACTTTCGACTTGGCTAAAAAACATACTGCCAACTCTCTCCTGTCCAAAAATGCATTCAAATTCAAGTGTGGATAAAATATTACTGAAATATGGAAATACTTCAAGAGCGGCTAGAGGCTAGAAAATTGTTTAAAACGTTAACCAAAGAAACTACCGGCTTCTTTACCCGATCGATTCAGATAAGTTCAAACTTGAAGTTGTAAGCTTACTGAAATAACAATTTTACGTTAATTCCACTCCTATCTTTATTTCATTTACTGAATTAGCCGCTATTCACCACCCTTTAGTTCGTAGTTTGCCATTTAGTTTTAGCATAGTTAGTTTTTCTAGTTTTTTCTAGTCGTACAAAATTGCTCAACTAGTGCCATGTAGAGCATTGATCGAAAGAGTTGTCGCTTGTATGAAAGAGTTGTCGCTTGTTAGATAAGTTTTACATTAAATACCAGTGACTATCAGTTATCTTTAATTATTTATTGAAGGTTTCCCGACGATTTTCATACAGAAATATATTTTTTGATGAAGATTTTAATGTTTTAAAGGATCAAAAGTCAGTACACTTAGTGAACCATTTCATTATTCGGTCCGTACCGTAAGTTATGGACCGCAAATTGACCAATAATAGCGCGTGAAATTACCTTGCAATACATTAATGTAGTAAAATTTTTAATCCTTTATACTTTTACTTTTAAAAAGTTTACTATTTCAATTTGTCCCATGTGTAATTTTTTGTGCCATTGATTGCCATTTGTTTTTAAGAGTGAATGTTAGTGAAAAATCGAACAAAATTCGAAAAATCGCGGACACAGTCAAAAAACTGAATTTGCTCATATTTCGTGGATGGATAGTGCTAGGTACCAACTAGACGCAAATGGGGTTCGTTTTTTCTAAATATCTTTTTAAACGAGAAAAATCGTCGAAAAATCGCTTGAGTCAAAATCAGATGAGGATTCACTAGTATCCCAAGTGCACGTGCACGCTTATTGTTTTCTTTGGCTTTAACCGGTTTATTTATTTATTTATTTTTTTGGCATTGATACTTCCACTCCTAATATTACTTATACTAACGTGTTGCTTTAGCATTTGATGAAGACATGTTTGACTAATTTGAGAAAATAAAAATAGCCAGATATAGGATCTCTACTGAACCTGAAATTATTTCAGTATTTTGATGAGTTTCTTTAAATCTCTTGAATAATTTATAAATAGATATCGCTAAAAGGTATGAAATACACTCTACTCTAGTACAATTTTACAATAGTATTTTATCTGTTGAAATGAAAAACTTTATTTCTCTCTCGCGATGCATTCTGGGATACTAGTGGATCCTTCTCTGAGTTTTTAAAATAAGCTAATTTTTAATGCGACCGAACTCGAAATTAGGCCAATTTCGGTTCGCTCTCCTGGAAATTCATGATGCCTTCGAAAAAATYCAAAAGTTCAGGTACATACATTAGTGTTTCCTTAATCGGAAAGCAACTTTTGTTTTTGCCTCAGCATTTTTCCTATTTTTTGTATACCGCATAAGACTAAGGTCAAAACCAGCAAGAAATAATATATGTGGTAGTGCCTCAAAACTTCCAACTTTTTTGCCACATAATACTGAAAGGTCATTAATTAATTCTTTGGTTTTAGTTTTTGGGCTGTTTTTGTTTTCTCGAGCTGAGCGCCGATGCAACTTCTGCTAAATCCACCAATGTCAAACTCAAAGAAGACATGCTTACGTYATTTCCTGCGTGATTTATATTCACTGAACGGAGCACATATAATAATGATAATATAGCTGCATGATATATAGCTGTTTTATTTGTTAAATAAGTTCTCTTGTTCAGGTAGTATCTTATGCTTTCTTATTTCAAGGTGTGTTTGGAGGAATAAAAAGTGGTTGTAGGCTTTTCCAACCATTTTTTCAGGACACAAGAAAAGCGAGCCTTTCTCCTCTTCACCGAAGTCGGTTTGATTTTGTTTCTAAAGCATTTTAACAATCTCGATCTGCTGTAGACTTTTTAATATATCTTAGCCTATGACGCGTGATGTTCTTTCGCCGGAGCTGGCTTTGCCAGTAGCGCATTTATGGCTGCTTCATCTATTCAACTCGCCCATAGTTAATTCTCGACACCCGTAGGGGGGTGCTGTAAAACGCGGAAACAAAATGTGCCGATTGCCGAAAGTGCGAAACGGAGCGGAAAATGCACTAATTTATAAATCGGTAAAACGCAAAATATTTGTTGTCTAAAATTGCCAGTATAAATAATAAATCAAAATCAAAATATGCCGATCAACGTTGCCAACGTTGCGCGACATAGGGCCAAAAAAGAAAAGAAAGAAAGGGATTAAATATCGGAGTCACATTAATATACATACATCTATTTCTTAATTAGATTAAACGAAGAATCATTATAACTTTGAAAGAAACAAAAATCTACCGAAGTCTGCCCTGGCGCGAGCTCTTAAAAAAACCTTCGGGAAAATGACGTGAGCAGGGTCGTACAGCTTTGAGCGAGCAGGGCCGTAGGGATTCGTACGGCCCTGCTCGAAACCTGCGACCGTATTGACATAATTTGCAACTTTTAAAATATCTTTTTATTTAGGGTCATATGATAAAACGCTTATTGAATGAGTTAGGTCAGGCCGTACGGGAAAATATTTGGCTCTCGATCATTTGTACGGCATCACCTCGAGTCAAATGTTTTCCCGTACGGCCCTATACCACTCAGTCAATAAGTTCATATGAGTTAAATTATCTTTTACAATATTGCTCAGGCAAAGCAAGGGAAGTGGTAAGGAACTGTGTTGTTATGGAACCATCTATTGGCTATGCAACCGCGCGAAAGCTGCTGAAACTCTCTCTTTTACTCCAAAGAAGAACTAGCGTCCACAACGTCAGTAAGTTTTTTTTTCATTTTTTCAACTTTTCACAGTGTAAAATTTACCCTTTTATCATTACCGTTTCATCAGAAACACCGACGCAGCTCACACTAGTTTTTAGCTAGTTATCTCCTGCTTTATTCGTCAWTTTAAGCGACGAATAAAGCAGGATCTTTAAAAGTCATTTAAGTTCGTTCTCGTTATTTCAACAGTGCGAGTACAATAAATTTAGCGGTAACAAATAGTAACACAATTTACTCTTATAACAACTAGACATACCTTGTGATCTTGTCGCTGCCTTTATAGAATTTGCAACCTTTTCATAGGAGTTCTCATCAAGTACTTCCCATGGCACTTTTTCATTACTTCCTTTAACCCAGCCATCCCATTCCTTCTGAGCATTTGACTCAAAGCTTTCTAGATCTAAACCCCAAATGTCATTAGAGGTCAACAACACTCATAATATGTTATTATATAAATTTGCTCCCTTCTTCGCTGAATTCACCCATTTTACTATATTGTCGTTAACCACATGAATCAGTAACACGTACCTTTCCTATATCCATACACTTCTACACGTAGTGTCTTCCATCTGTCGTATTTCGTCGGTATGAATCTAATGAACCTTGCAAGAGTTCGAGTATCGTTTAACGCATTCTTGACGACACCATTTTCATCTTTGTTACCCGAAAATAACTGAAAAGACATACAAAGAATCCATCTTTAAACTCGAAAAAGAAAATGTTTTCCATTTATCTTTGAATTGGTTGGAGATGAAAGATAACGTTTAGAGGTGTGTTTGTGTTTTGTTTGTTTGCCAAGTCATCTGCTTTATAGAGATACCAGTGTACATGTTCTTACCTTGATTTTGCCACCACTTCGGTACATTGTCCAAGTGTTATTGTCAATAGATGTTGATATCTGGTATTCTGTAGTCCAAAATGGAACATTAGGATAGCCTTGTGTAGCTACAGCACGGATAACAAACACCTCACCCAAGTCTATCTGTAGATAGTCATTAGGGTCATCATTGGTCTTTGGTTCCCATGCCCCTTCATTTCCATTCAGTCGTGCACGGTGTGGTTTCTCATACATAGAGCTATATGAGCTTGCCGTAAATCTGTCATCTGGTATGATTGTACTGTCAGATACACCAATACGATTATCTCCCCATTCTGTTGGAACAGAAAACAGCTGACTATTTAAACATGTTTAAAAAAAAAAAAAAAAAAACATTTCCATAGGGATTCCCCTCTAGCTGGCTCATGTCTAATCTTTTTCCACACAACCTTTTTGAGTTAAGGACGTTCATTCGCAAAAGACCCCGTCATACATATTTCAATTTTTTGCACGATGAAAGTACATCACACTAGAAGTAAAATACGCATAGAAGTAAAAATTGGAGTCAACGATTTTTTTGCGATTAAAACGCGCAAACAACGCAAACATGGAAATAAGCCGTATTTTACAAAACACATACGATAATTTGACGGTCCCCATTTTTATAAAACTTTAGAAAATGATCCAATTATTGCTCGGTATTTAAACGTTTATTGCAAAATTAGGAATATGTAAAGGTAATCATACGGTTTCGAGTTCAATTTGGGATTAATTCGCACAAGTGTGTTTTTCATAGAGTTGAAATTGCACGAGACCGTAGTTCGAGTGCCATTTCAGCTCTTTGAAAAACACACGACTGCGAATTATCCCAAATTGAACTCGAAACCGTATGATTACTTAGTAATAACACACATGAAAAAATCACAAAAGAAAGGGACGAAAAGTTGTGAAATATTCAACGCATAATATTTTATGAAATTCGTTCGTTCACAAACAACTATATTCAAAGCGATTTTGGTTTGAAATACATGTTTCAAAGAGTTTTTTTTACCTATTTTAAACCAAAATTTGGCTATATGTTGATTGTAAATATATATATATACATATATATATATATATATATATATTTTTTTTTTACTGTAAAGTAAATCTGAATCACTATGAATGAATATATTTGGATTAGCTGCCTTTGTAGCTAACTAGAAATGTATGTTGAAAAAAATTATACCTGGCAGTTGTTGTTGAACGTGTTCAGAAAACTTTACGGCTCAGTTTTGGGATCTTGTAGACCAAAATATTGTGTAAGCACCTACAACATCGTGTTTAATGGTCTTGCTCATAGTATTTTTTGTTTCTGTTTTAGTTTTTGCTTCACTTCGGCAAAGAATCGTTTGAATATCTTCTTTAGATTGGCTGGCTCAATTCATGTCATAGTTTGTTTCCTTATCACTATTTCTTCCATATATTCAGCCATAACGATTTACTTTTACATGTGTTTTCTTTTTCGAACTGTTTTTTTTTTAGTTTTTTGATAGCAAGATCCGTAAAATCTTTGCATATTTTTACCTAAGATAAAATGGATGCCATTTTTCCCATCGATTTGCTTCGAATTTCTCTCAAATTTTCATTCATAAACATCTGTCATCTTATTGGCTAAAATAATTTTCTATTGTTTCTTATCCAATCAATAATTGCGTTTGTTATTTGCACTGTGTTACACTTTTCTGCACTGCATTACACTTTTCGGCACTAGATTATATTTCTCTCCACTGTATTATACTCTTCTGTACTAAATTACACTTTTTTTGCACTGTATTACGTCGTAACTACACTGTTGTAAGCCAATCAAAATTGAGTAATTTTGTCATGTTATTAGTAATGTTATTGGACTACATGTTTTCGCCTGCGTGCAGCTGGACTTTTCTCTCGTATAGACTGTCTGCGAAACAACGACACAAACCGCGTTCTCTAGACCCCACGCCCCCGCGTATGGATTTGCATACTGAATTCTAATTCGTTATAATGAAAGCCGTTTCCGATTGGTTATCAGAGCCTTTGCTGAAATCAAAGTGGCGAAATTTAGCCATCACCAGAAATCTGGGACATTTGAGCCCGCGCGCATTGAGCAGTTTAACATCGAGCCCCTTAAATATGGACCATCAAATGTATATAAAATGTATGGGAATTATTTTTAAAATAATGATTTCTTATGAAGAGAAACGTTCGAGCTTTTTCGGTGACCTCTTGTTAAGATAKTTAGGTCTAAAAGTACTTTATTCTTATAATCATCAGCATTCGAGTGTTAACCTGGTTCTATGATAATACTCTATGCCCATAGAGCCTTTGTAAGATGGAGATTTATGCAAAATGCCCCCTAATGTTTTACCTCAGTCAAGGTTTTTTTGCTAACGAACATATTTCGGTGACCTAACTTTAGAAACTTCGAAGAAATCTCGTTCGAATGACGCTGTTTTTTTACCTAAAACAGTACCTTTAAGTTGGTTCCTTCGGCCTCCGAAATCCATGATCAACGGCGAGTTCCACAGAGAAAGGATTCCCCCATTTKGAAGGGGAAAATGGCCAAATTTAATGAAACATTCGACCAAAAACAACGAAAATGTTCATTCCTATCCGCCATGTTGTAAACAGACCCGGTATATTTGGTCCCATGCCCTCACAATCAAATTAAACACAGGGTTCTCAAAATATTTTAGTACTATAACTCTCTGTAACTTTTTTCACTTGAAAATTGATCAAAATGGCTGATGTTTTTACAGAATACGAACGCAATATTATAAACCAAAAGCTTAAAGTTGTTGATCCACCTATAAGTTATATAAATCAACGGAGAGCTAAGAATGAGGAGTTTGTTTTTGCTATTGAAATCCCCTATCCCATCCTAAAGGCTGCCTATGAGTCCCCTGGGGAAGTGTGCAATGGGATATACTGCGGCTCAATGTGCGCGGGCTCAAATGTCCCAGATTTCTGGTAACGGCGAGGACTTGTGAAACGAAGCTTTTTCAGCTGTCCGAATATCAGTTTGAACACAGCTGTGCTGCCTCCTTCTCTATGTCCTTTACATCGAGAGCTGTTAGTTTTTTCTTAAGGTGCTACTTGGACGAAAATCGCTCCAAAATTAAAACTCTTTCATTCGAGCTGGAACTTTGCTGAAATAATCTTGAATACATTAAGAGCCACTCACTGAAATATCTTTCTGATATTCGAAAAGAAAAAGCCAAAATTTTACGATTTATTTTCGTCCGCCATTAATTTGTTGTTACAAGAATTCGGCTCAAGAAGACTGGCACGAGTAACGTAAAAACCAAACCAAAACATTGGTGGCTAATGTATGTACCATGTTCGTAAAAGGCTCGGTTTATCTGGTTTATTCAGAAAATATATGTTTCATTCGATTCCTTAACTACTATATGACCAAACAATGTCTAGGCGCTGAATTTTTTTTCAGTTTCAATAATATTGACGATCATAATTGGGACATTTTAATACATCTCGGCACGCCAAGAATCACAACAAAGTTCAGGACGCATGGGAGAGATTCAGTGTCAGGGAGATTCGAGATTTATTCGAATCATTCTAAGGATAACACTAAGGATAACAACTTTTAAAGATATATTTATAACAAGCGCAAAGAGCCACCTCACAATTTAGGTCCGCGAGACATCCGGCACAAAAGTAAAATCTACGTGCTGAGTTACAGACGCTGTCGGGCGAGTAATAAATAAGAAACCTTTGAGGTTTTTTTTTACAAAGATGATATTAGATTATCGTATGTTTTTACCTATCAAATGCATAATAAACATTTTGAAACAAATAATAAACGCTCTGTAGCAAATCAGGAGAATTACGAGCTCACATTYTAAATTATTCGGCACATAGATCTAAGTATATTGTCACAAATCTTTATATCACAACGCAGAATTCGAAAGGCAATAGCTGTTAGATTATATTGAAACCTCAAATTTAAATCTTTATATCATGGACAGTATGTAGCAAATACAAATCATGGAATGAAAGTAAGGAATTCTCATGAAAAACATTACGCAAGCATTCTCTCTTATACACGATGACTTCTTCGTTGGTAGCAACTGGTTCTAACTCTTCAGGATTGACAAAGAGCGCGTCCAAATGACTTTCCACCATTTGAAAAGGTATCAAAGCTTTAAAAAAAGTTTACTGAGTTCATTCTTTTCACGATAACGCGTWTAAAACATCAAATAAACTTCAGGTAATCGAACAAGAAATGTATGGTGAAAGCGACGCTAACTTGAATGGGTTGCATGTATGACGTCACAGAGAGAAACCGCTGTACACAATGACTCTTTGGCCGTGAGACAAMCAAATTAATGGCGGACGAAAATCAACCATAAAATTTCGGCACTTTTCTTTCGAATATCAGAAAGATATTTCAGTGAGTGATTATTAATTTATCAAAGATTATTTCGGTAAGGTTTCAGCTCAAATGAAAGAGTTTTAATTTTGGAGCGATTTTTGTCCAAGTAGCACTTTAAAGACAAGAGAGGGATATTTTCAAGCTACATTAGCCACCCTTTTATAGGTTCCGCAAACTAGCATCTTGTCCAGAGATTCTAAGTCTTGTGGTAGCATTCTCTCCTTAGCTTTTCTTTGGATGTTCATTTCACCTTAACGGACAGATCTGTACGTATTGACTTAACAGGGGTTTCTCTCTGAACTGGCGAATAAGGAGGAACAGCGGGAATTGGTCTTGTGAATGCGAACACATGATGTGTTATCTTCGCTAGTCCCTTCGATACTACTTTTTTAGGGGTTACTCTTTAGCTCATTTGTCTCAATAGGCAACGCATTCTTCTTATAATGTCTCGCAATTCGGTTTCAAGTTTGTGTTGCAGTTGGATTAAACTTTGTCTGTTTCACAATGTTTGAAAGAACGACTTGCATATATACTCGCTCTGTCGATTGAAAATAATCTCCAACTCACACTTCACGTTTAACTTTGAATTTCCTTTTACAAGATAACAAACATTTTGCTTTGATAACTCTCAAGGACATAAAATACAAATTATGATTATTACTAGCAATAAACGAGACATAAATTTGAGTCTTATTCCCGACAAGAACCAACACACGTGAAATCATATACTGTAAACAACCTAGCCTGAAATTTGAGTAGAAACTGAAAATTATAACCAATCAGCAAACTTATAAGTAAGAGCCAATCAGAACGCGTACTGAAATCCTGGGGGTAACGGAACAAGAAAGATGTCGCTGGTTCGCAGACGGACTTAACAGTTAGTTACTTCAGCTGCACGCAGGCTATACATGTGTAGACTCGTACCATTAGGTAAAGCCTACAAGTTTACGAAATATGTGATTCGATTTGGTCCCATCGTCAGATGTTTTTTTAATTATTTTCTCTATAAAGCTAGACACTATAAAGTACTTAAAAGAAACGAAAAAAGATGAGTCACCGACTTTGCTTTATAACAATAAGTCGTGATTTATTAGTGAACTTGTTTCCTTAATATTTACAATTAAAGAAATGGTAATTGATTAGCGTGCTTCCATCGTGTTTTGGGTGAACCCGTAAGGCTGCTAATCACGAGTGAAGGGTAAGAAATGCAAAAGGGGTATCAAGCCGGCAATGGTCAATGCTTACCTGGGCGTATATCTAGTTCTGAATGCACTTGGGAGGATGCTTAAGTACTAAAGAACCTAGAATCACTCTCAGCTACGTCTCGTGCGAATCCTACGCTTTTTTCGCTTAAGCAACCTACCGAGAGCATCCAGAACTTGATACACGCACGTTAAGCATTGTCCATTCTTACGCCTATCAAAGCATTCTAATGACGTCATCATGATAAGCGAACGCACACGCGCACTAAACTTACCTTGTTTGTAGACAGTACAATACTTTGATGGACAAGTTGGAACTTTTCTCGGGAACTGATAGACAAAATAATCCTTGCAGTTTCGTATCTTTACGATAGTTTCCTTAACACAGCACTTGCCATCTGCAGCAAAGCATAGTTGACGTTCAACTATCCCATCTTCTACTGAAGGAAGTAGGCCATTGATCCACCCCATGTATTTAGTGGAGCAAGACGATTTTCTATCTATGCACGATCTTGCCAACTGCCGTCCAGCAGAATCCACGACTCGGTACCAGGCGGTCGTGGAAAGATGATCGTCACAACCTCTGAAGGTTTCTTCTTTTGCATTGGTATCCTGTCGACGATCTGAATAACTGAGGGACTTGTACTCATGACACTCTTGATGTGCTAAAAGACGTGACAAACAGAATTAGTCATATAATTGGAGAAGAGTCTCAGCCATTGATGATCAATACATCAAAAAAGTTTGGTGATCGTTTACTAATAGCTTCTGCAAGCACAAGTGCACCAAGCTCTAAATGTGTTAGCTTCCCCAAACAACACAGCAAAACATTAAAAATTTACTAAAAATCACAACTTCAACATATCATTTTTGAACTATGCAAAATAACTTGTTTTTGTTGGCAAATATATGACTGATAATTGAAACTGTTATCACACGTCGAAATCGAGTGATTCATTTCTGAATTAGTCTATTTGATATCACATGAGTAATCCAAAATGAGATGATAAATAGAGATTATTACATCCATTTTGAAATCACAAGCAAATCCTGCAATCTGATTGGTTCCCTGCAGCAGTGATTTCAGCATAAGTTGCACGATTTTGAGCTCTAAATTGCACGATTTTGC